GTAGACGTTCTTCCTTCTGAGGAGCTCGGTTTCTGCTACCTGGCGCCATTGGCCCGTGGTGTTAATCAAGCTGTTGTCTTGCAACGCATGCAGCAAGTACTTGACGGTCTTGAGCTCGTTGGGGACGTAGCCTTCTGTGCCAGGCAACCTCGGGCTTTTTGCCCAAATGCTGAATGGTTGCTGTTGTTCGACTGCAGGTGGTATATGCTGTAAGCTCCCCTGGCGGATAACGCAGTAGTCACGGTGGCTCGCCTCCACGGGGATAACGCAGTAGACAAAAAGATGTTCACCTTCTGGTGAGTTTGTCGACGTGGAAGATCCTCGTCTGGGCGGAGATCCAGTTTAGGATGCACGCGCGCCGCCGATGGCGGCAGGCGCCGAGGCCAGTCCCCACCCCTTGGGTCCCAGCGCGGCGGCGAGGGAGCCTGAGGCCAGATAGGCCTTGTCTCCTCCTCCTCCTCCTCCAGCTCCTCCTCCTCCTCCTCCTCCTCCTCCTCCTCCTCCTCCTCCTCCTCCTCCTCCCCCTCCTCCTCCTCCGCCTCCTCCTCCTCCTCCTCCTCCTCCTCCTCCTCCTCCTCCTCCAGATCCAGCTCCAGCTCCAGCTCCAGCTCCTCCTCCTCCTCCTCCTCCTCCTCCTCCTCCTCCTCCTCCTCCTCCTCCTCCTCCTCCTCCCTCTCCTCCTCCTATGTATCCAGTCTTCAGGCTACAGCTCCTCCTCCCTCATCCTTGCTCCCTCCAGTTTCCACTTCCTCCGCCTTCCCCCTGCCCCTCCACAGTCCGCAGGCCCCGATCCCCTTTCCCGTCCCACCTCCACCCCTTGAGAACGACTCCGACGACGACGACGACGTCGCCGCCTCTCCAGCTCGAGCGTGAAGGGCCGAGGTTGGCGGGGCGGGGCCTGCGGCTGTGCTCTCACAGCCTCGGGGCGGAGGTCCCGGCGACCCTCGGCGTGTTCAGCCTGACCCGAAGCGCCCCGCGGTGCTTCGCCGCAGGCGGTGCGGGACTGCCCCGCGGGGGCCTGCGGAGGCCAGCCGGGAACACCGCAGCGGGCAGGCCGCGCTCGTCCTGGCGTGTCCTGGCGGGCGCTGTCGCCAGGACTTCGGGGCGGCCCCAGCCGTGGTGACGAGGTCCCCCCCGACGTGCCCAAGCACGGCGAAAGACGACGACAATGAGACGCAGGAGGACATATTAGTGCTACGTGTCCTCCTCGCAGGCGCGCGTCCGACCCGATCACATCACACAGCCCCATGTTGTAGTACATCATTTCCCGAGCGGTACGGCCAGACAGAGCCCGCCACGGAGCTTGCACTATCAGATTTCTGAGCTCGCGCGTCGCCCCTTTGGGGGCGACGCACACGTAGTTTTAGTATTTTTGGGTGACGCCGAGACAGTGCCGACGACGACTCCGCTGCCGCCGCCAACATCTTCGTCGTTCTCGTCGTGGTCCCGCCAGCCGATCCGTTTCCGCTCACACTCGGTCCCCAGACAAACCCCTCCCAACCATCATGCCACAAGTTGATTGGAGCTGCGTCCAGCCGTGGCGTCGAGGCCCTCCAAAGGAGGCCCCGAAAGCGATGACAACAGCAAGTCTCCGACGACTCATCTTTCTCAGGCCGACGACCAATGGAGCTCTCGGCACTTTCTCCCAGATCAAATTTCTCATTCATGAGTCGTTCCTTGACAGCCCCAAACCTGTAAACGGCCCTCCGAACATACAAACAAGTCCGGCCAGACCTTAAAGCTGATGCTCGTTTCGCTGGTGGGGCTTTTCAGTTACAGCCGCAGATGGCACTGCGCGAGCAATCTTCTCTCAAGATGCGGTAGCAGGAACATCCAGGTGCGATGGCCAGAAAATCAAGATGCGCTGGCAGTGAAACAGCTTCAGAGACTCGGCTACGCGAAAGAGTGACCCGAAGTGTCCGGGGATGCTGGTGCGTGGGTCGCCGACCGAGGCATGTGATGCGACATCAGCGGCTTGTGCGCTCTGGCATGGCCTCCCCTGCTCCCCCCGAGCACCGCGCACCCACACAAGAGTCACTCCAACAAAGGGGTCACGCTTGTATGTGCAGCCGGCCAACGATCCATCGACCCCCTCCGGGGATCCACCCTGGATGGCTCTTCGCCCCGCCTCGAATGACGGCCCACAGGGGCCGAACTGGGCCACTAGGGACCGAACATGGCGAAGGACCTTCTCAGAGCACATCCTCGTCGAGCACTCGAACATCGAGCGGCACTCAGAGGGGCTCGCCGCCGTCGCCGCCGTCGTCGCCACTCCAGCGCGTGATTGCACGTACTTTGCACGGGTAGCTGCAGGTGTGCATGCATGCATGCATCTATCCACTGCGTGGACTTACTAGCCAGGCGGGCAAAAACTGTGCAACCAGAGCCTGAAAGCTCTTTGGCCGTCGCCGTCGCCACCGCGCGTCGCGCGCCGCGCGGCGGGGTCCCCGCGAACTCGTCCCATGCGGCCAGGAGCTCGGGGCCGTAGGCGCCGCGGCAGAGGCCCCACGCCCGCAACTCGCAGAGGCACGGGCACCAGCCGTTGCCGCTGGCCGCCTCCTGTGCGCCGACGCCGTTGCCACGAGCAGCCGCCAGCGTCGGCTGCGTCGGCATCGTGTCCGTCATCGTCTTCGTCGTCGACGTTGCCGTCGTCGACGTCGTCGTCGGCGCAGCCGCCACCGTCTTCGTCGACAACTCTCCTCACCCCCGTCCCTCGTCCTCCTGCTCGCCCCTCCTGCCGATGCTGCTCCTCCGACTCCTCGGCCTTCTCCCTCCCCCTCTCTCTCTCCCTCACTTTCTCCCTCTTCCTCCTCCCTCTGTCCTCGTCGTCGACCCGTCGTGATCCGTCCTTCCTCCCTCCTTCTCATCGACGTCCTCCTGTCGGGCGCTCGATCTTCACGACCGTGGATCAAACTTCATCAAGAGGCTCGCAGCCGCTGAGGCCGACGACGACGGATCTGGAGGCAGCGACGAAGACGACGACTTGCAGGACGGCGACGGCGAAGAGCACGAGAACGACAACGGCGGCGACGACAGCGAAGACGACGACACGAGGAACGATTGCGGCGACGACGGCAACGGCGGCGACGATGACGGCCATGGCGGCGGCAACGAGGATGGCGCCTCCGAAGCCTCCGGGAACCTCACAGCACCTTCGAACCCCATGGAAACGTTGCTAAAAAAATGACACTCGCCAAACGGAACCATTGACGACGACGACGACCACGACGACGACGACGACGACGACGACGACGACGACGACGACGGCGGCGACGACGACGACGACGACGACGACGACGACGACGACGACGATAGCGGCGGCAGCGGCGGCGACGGCGACCACCACAACGACAATAGCGACGGCAGCGGCGGTGATGGCCCCTCGACGGCCGGGGCGGCAGCGCCGACCGCGCCTCCGCGCGAGGGCCCCGCAGCTTGGACAGTTCCTGGGCGATGGCGGCCTCGACTCGCATCTCCTGCAGCGCCCGCCCGATGAGTCGGCCAAGCGACGGCGACGACGACGACGAAGACGGCGGTGGCGACAGCTACAGCGACAGCGATGGCGGCTGCGGCGGCGACGACGACGACGACGAGGATGACGACGGCGATGGCGACGGTGAGCCGGTGAACGTGGCGGCGGCGACCGCGGCGACGACAACGACGACGCGACGACGACAACGACTCAACTCAACTCAACTCAACAACTCTACGAGCGATGTCCGATTGTCCACTTCACAGCTGTGCAAAATAGCGCTTCGACACTGAACCGAGGTGCATAAACAAACTTAAGCCAAGTGGGACGTGCTCTGAGTACGTGCAAAGGGAGTACTGGCTGCAACTGCGCTGGCACGGGTTTCGTGCACAGGCCGTCTACAGCGCCCTGGTTAGCCGACACTTGGCCTCAGAGGCCATCCAGCACCCCCCAGGGACGAGGCTCCGAGCCTCACGGGCGAAAATTTATCCTCTCGATCCTCCACGACCCCTCCCCCGAGTACCACGACCCCTCCCCTTCCCTGTGGCGGGCGCCTGCGCATCAGCTCGTCGAATTGGTGTGATCGGCGAAGTGCTGGCGGCCTGGGCAAGAGCTGCCTCAACCGTGATGTGGCCAGCCTGCACCAAGCCTAAAAGACGAACCGAATGGCGCCCAATCATCACCTGCTGCGTACTACTCAGTCTCCGTCGCCCTCGACCTCCTTCAGCAGCTCCTGTGCCAGGCGCTCCAAGGGCCCGCGGGGCGCGGGTCCGACCTTGGTCTGACCGCCCATCAGCTTCAGCCCCTTGATGATCACTGCCTCGAGCTCGGGATGACTGTTCCTGATTGCGAATGATATCTTCACCTTGTCGCTGGCGCCGTCCTTCTTCTTCACTGGCTTCACCTTGCAGTGAAGTACTACCTCCGCCAGCTCGAGCACCGACTTGGCCGTCTGCACCCGCGTGGTCCAGAAGCTCTCCAGCGTGCCCTGGTCCGTCGTCGACAACTGATCCTGTAGCGTCGCCAGAGACTTCAGCACCGCCATTAAGATGTACGGGTACGGTGGTCCCAGCGCCTCTGACTGGTCCGTGTCCTGTCTTGCCTCCTTTGCCTTTTCGTGGTAAGCGATGCCTTCCGCCTTGGCCTCCTCTGCCACTGCGCAGTCTGCGGGGAGCAGCATGGTGTGCCACAGCATACCTGTCAGCTCCCGCAACTCCGCCGCGCTCGTGAGCGTGAGCCTCGTCAGCACCACGATCAGCTTGCCGAGACTCTTGAGATTTTCTTTGCCCGCCAAGTCTGCAAGCTTCCGCGCCTTTGGTGCCTGGCGACCCTTGCTGGCCTCTCCATCGCCTCGCCGCTTGAGCGCCCAGGACGGAGCCGCCAAATCCATCAGCAAAATGTGTAATCGGCGGGGCGTGGGCCTGCAAGTGTGTCTGTAGCTCTTCAAAGGTTGAGCCGACGAACTCGCATAGATGGCATGCCCTACGATCTGCATGTTGCCTGCCTCCGTAGTATCGGGAGCTGGTCGCGCACTCGCCTACCCTACACAACGAGAGTCCATCACATGTCGCTGAGCTCTGCTAATATCTGCATATTCGGCGGGACAATACGGACATACATTCGTAGTCACAATCTGCAACCATGGATCTCTTACGCCGTATGCAGACAAGCGGTGTTGATTAACTGCTTTGAAACTGCCGAACCGACGATCACAAGTGCCTTCCGCCGTCCGATATCCGCACGCCCACTTCTTAGATTCTTCATCTAGTTGGGGCTGAGCGTCGTCGGGGGCTCCACGATATTCTGGGGGAGGAACCATTGCTGCATAAGCCCCTTGCCTAAGTCGGTCGAAGTCGAACATATTGAAATCGTTTGCGAGCTCGATGTCCCGAAACAACTCCAGGAAACCTTGGCGCAGGATGGTGCCCACGGTGCCCCCCCTCATCGTGCATCTTCTGAACCCCCTCCAAGATATCCTCCTTCATCTGTTTGGCCCAAGGATTGGCGAAAGGCGGGGGGTCGTTATCGTTTATGCTCACCGCGTCGTGCTGCTCAAAATCGTACTTGCCGAAAACTGCCGTGAGAAACTGCGCGTGCTTCCATGGTCGTGCAGCATACTGTTGGATACGCTTCAGCCTAAAAGCGTGCATCTCGAGCTGTGCTGGTGCAGTGCGCCAGTACCTAAGGACCTCACTAGTGCTCATACTACGGTGTGTCTCTACACCGTCAGAGACATCTAAAAAATGCGCGGCGCCCTGCATTGCTTTGCGTGCATAATGTGCCATGGCCCGACCAAGGGCATTCTATTGTGCAGAACTCCAAACATAAGCCCCAACCCCATGTAGGAGCGTATTTTGGACACAACAAATCAGCATGCTCCTTGTCACCTTCCAAGGTTGGCGGGGAGGGGGCCAAAAAACACCCGCGAGCTTTGTACGCAACCAGGGCAGCCTGCTTTCGTTTTTTGAGCTCAGGGGCAACGCTCGAACTCGCAGCAATCTGCGAGCCCAGGTACCGAGCAGAAACAGAGTGTTTAGCGGGAAGGGGGAGGGCGCCACTGCGCAGGCACTCTGCTGCGGCACTGCGGCCCGAACCTGCAAGTACGGGAACAATCTCCTGTTTTCCACGATTCTGTTTACAACCTATCGTGGCGAGAGCGTCGTCCAAACATGCATTGGCCAGATACGAACGTGCTGTGGAATCTGTGAGCCTCTCATCGACTCTGGACAGTAGCATCTTGAGGAGATCATCTGCATACTGAAAGACCGACATATCTATCTTGCGTCCGGACAGAGGGTCGGTCGCACAGAATTCGTCAACATCACATTTGCTGACACGCGCCAGCTGCTGCCACTGGTTTACGCTGGGTTGAAAAGCTTGCACAAACTGGCGCACTACCAAGGGGTCCCCCATGAGTGCCCCACATTCGATTTTTTAAAAAGGTGAAACCCCCTGGATAGGGAAGGGGGGGCCATCTACCGCCTCCTGAAATCCCTGGCAATCGCCAGTTCGATGTCGTCTATTCTCGACAGTCTCGTGGCCGACTGCGGATTGTAGTGCAAGAAACGCATGTCGGTAGTTGACCATGTGCAGCTTGCGATACATGTTCGCCTCCTGCACCTGCGGGCGGATCCGCTGCGCTGCCAGCCGCGAGCGCGGCGAGAAGAGGCGTCCAGGGCCTCGCCGCCATCAGAGGGCCGCCATCGCAGCCCGTCTGCCGTCACCTCTGCAGGCGATGACGCGTATTAATGCGATACCGTGTTGGCCGTATTGCAGATCCCTGTGGGCCTATTACGGCTACGACAACGACGACGACGACGACGACGACGACGACAACGGCGACGGCGGTCGCGGCGGCGGCAGCGGCGACGGCGGCGATCCGCACCCTTCCTGCCTCCCCGCCGTGGCGCCCGACGACGTCGCCAGAAGGAGGAGGAGGAGGAGGAGGAGGAGGAGGAGGAGGAGCTGTTTCTCGTCCCCCCCCCCCGCGGAGCGCGAAGACGCAGGCAGCGGAACGCGAGGAGGCTCCAGGCTGCCGATCCAGACTCCACCCGCGGCTGAGACCGCCAGTGACAGCCAGGGCCATGGCGAGCGGCCAGTCTGACCTCCGCTGCGCCCGCCTCGCCTGGCAAGCATCGCAGCGCGCAGCATGCCAGGACTGGGCCCCATGGGCCGAGACGTGGGGGCGAGGGAGCGGTGCGGGTGTTACGCTGGTCCCGGGCTGTTGCACGTTCCGCAACGCGCGTGGGCCGCAAGAGAGAAAGGGGGGGGGAGGAGTAGAGAAAGAGGACGGCAAGGAGAAGGAGGAGGAGTGAAGGATAAGAGCGATGGGGTGGAACGGCGGCTTCTCAGTCCAGGATCGATATCCCTGGCGCTTTGACCCTCCCGTGATCCTCCAGAGGGCGTCCAGAGGCCTTCGGGGACCCTCACCTCCTGCTGCACCCGCGGCCGAGGGTCAAGGTCTTTGGACGGTTTCGGGCCTTTCTTGGCCTCAAACGTTCGAGACTCAAACCTTAGAGGCCAAGACTCAAACGTTCGAGACTCAAACGTTCTTGGCCTCAAGGTCTTGGAACGATTTTGAAGATCGAGACTCGGAAGTTCGAGGGCTTCGGGCCTTTCTCCTGGCCTCTGGGGGCGGCCTGGTGGCCGCGGCTGGCTTACTCTCAAGATCCTGGGAGGTAGCCTAGCCGCCAGGGGTCGGTCGGTCTCTCGGTTGTTATCAATATCGGAGGCGCGCAGAGAGGGGGTAGGGGGAGGGGGGAAGGCTTCTTAAAAAGGAGGCCGTTTCTTAGAAGGCGCCGGCCCTACATCTACTGACAAGATCCGCGCCTTCTAAGAAGCAGGGGTGCTTTGAAGAAGCCTCCCCCTGCCCCTAAACCCCCCTCTGATCGTGGCCGACAATATCAATGTGAGCGTTGTCGTAATCGAAGACATCGTCGTCATCGTCGTCGTCGGCGTCTTCGCCGTTGTAACTGCCGAAGTCGTCCTCGCCATCGTCGTCGTATTCAACGACGACGCCGAGGTCGTCGCCATTGCTTTTGTCGCCGCCGCCGTCGTCGAAGTCGTCGCCATCGTCGTCGTCGGCGTCGATCCAACGACTGAAACAAGGAGATAGGGGAGATGGAGGAGAAGCCCAAGCAAAAGGGGTGATGAGCTTCCCGCGCAGTGGAACAAGGAAACGGTGGAAACGAAGGAGGGATACGGGGGAGGAGCAGAGGGTCGCAAAGCCCACCCCCACTCTCCTCCTCCTCAACATCCTCCGTCATGATTCCATGTTTCTCCCCCACCTCACCCACATTTGGTCCTCACTCCTCCTCCTCCTCCTCCTCCTCCTCCTCATACCTCTCATTCCCATCCTGATCGTCCCCCTACGGCTCCTCATCGCCGTTTTGCTTTCCCTCTCCTTGCTTCTCATCACCCATGTGAAGGACAGAGAGAGGGAGGAACGAGGGTATGTGGATGGGGGGGAAACACAGGGAAACAAACTAATTATGGGAATGAGATCAAGTCACGTGCAGGGGAAGAGGAAGAGAAAGAAAATACGGAAGAGAAGGATGGGACAAAAATTGTTGGGCCAGCTGCGCAGTACCTATCCAGCGAAAGATCCGGCAGCAGAGTCAAGTCTTGATTCGTTCTCCTAAGCAATGGCGGGTGGAGTTGTGCGAGCCACGTGCGACTTACATCGAGCAAAACGGGAGGCAACCACAGCAGACTTCTACACCATGCCTGCTGCCTGCTGCAAAGTGCCACTTCTTGGGGCACTACAGCAATGAAAACGCTGCGGAGAAAAATGAAACGCATTAGCCGCTAACCTGCACGACTGGTCAGGACCAGATCACGACGAAAAATGACAAGAAGCTGGGAACACTCACTGATGGATTTACACAGGGGGCATGCGGCAGCCACGCACTGGCGACATATACGCAGAGGGCCAGCGTGCCCGCACATGCACGCGAACGCCGAGGAATGATACGCCATGCGAACACATGTGTCGCCCTGACGGGCCACGCCATTTGGCCGATTCCAGAAACCCTGGCCCAAAAACGTTGCGGTTTCTTGGAGATGCATCTTGGGCGCTACTTTGGCCAGCAATGCCGCCCCAGATTTACTTCCGCCACCTCCCGCTGACCTTCCGCCGCTTTCCGCCGTGAGGAGTGGCCGACTCCTTCGACCCTCGAAGGCTAATCTCTTTTGTTGTTTTTGTTATTGGCAATTTCCTGCTGAATTTGAAGTTGGTTGACTTTGCAGGGAGGCCTGCCTCATGCAGAGCAGTTCAGCCAGCAAGGTTCACGAGAAGACGAACGCGCCATGCCAGCCATCAGCCAGGGAACAGAGTCGGCAGACCCTTGCCCTCAGATGAGCGTGAAGCCGCTCCTCGGCTCAGCCTCCACCCATTTTATGTCGACGACAGTTGTCCGCAGAACTAAAGGCGTCAATGAGCGTACCAGAAATTAATAGCATTTTGCGGGGTTGACCGACGGTCGGAACGAGTGAAAAGAGCCAAGGCGGGGTGCCAGAGAAGGGAGTCACAAGATCCCCGAGCCAACGCGGACATGTCCAATACTAGTTGAGCACCGAGCATAATGAATCATATAATCCACGTGGTAGGGTCAATAGAACAAGGTTGGCAGCCAAATAAACGGCCATGGGATTGGGTATGAGACGGTGCAAATGTATTGGTGCCCCTGGCCAGGAAACGAAATCAATCAGCCCCTGGTAAGGACCCGTCTTATTGATGACACACCTGGCACCTATCATAAGACGCAAAGTAGCATCATCAAGGATCTCCCCCGGCCATCGCGTCATACGGACACGAAAAGGAACGACTGCATCCAGCACGAAATCAGGAGAGTCAGCATGAGCACGATACGCAGCATCTTGAAAGCTTCGCTGGTTGGGAGCAACTGAGCGCGGCGAGCGACATACGATGCCTTGCGCACGCTGGAAGCACTTAAACATGGCAGGAACGACAATATCCTCATACCCACCAGACATATTGCGATACATCGATCAACATACACACATTCTAGAACCGCGCGCGCTACGCGCGCGCTGAGGTTCTAATCGCTGCATCACGGCGCCAAAGGATGGCACGGCAAGCAGTGCCATCGACAGCGGATCTCGTTCCAGAGGGCCCTGGCGGCCGACCCTCCTGGAGCCTTGGAAATCTCGTATTGTGCTGCCTCCTTCCTGGCGAAACTCCGTCGCGGGGTTTCATTGCGGGAAGGTCCCAGAACTGCCTGGACTGAACCAAGCTGAATCGAACGGCCGCGAGCCAGCGTCCGCCCCAAGACGAATCGAACCGAACCGGAATGGTCGCGATAGAGACCCGAACCGAACCGAACCAAGATCTCTTGTGGACCGAATGGGGCCGAATCAGACCGATACAGACCGAACCCGAGCGGCAATTTCACCCCAGGGGGTGGGGGACGAAACCCGAGGCCCAAACGAGAACTGTCCGGTTCCTCCCCCTACTCGTCATCGTTGTCGGCATCCTCCTCACCCTTTGTCGTCGTGTTCGCCCTCGTCCTTGTTCGCCTTCGTCTCCTCCCTGGCCTCTTCTTCCTCCTCCTCCTCCTCCTCCTCCTCCTCCTCGTTGTCCTCCTCCTTCTCGTCCGCCCTTGATGGATTCTGGACCCTGGGCTTTGGACCGCTGGCTCTGGGGACCCGCGTTGACGCCTGTTGACCCATCTTCGCCCCATGGAATTCGCCGCGATCCCTGGACCCCTCCTCGGCCCCGAGAGTGCGGCCCCAGGACCCCACGGCCAGGAGCAGGAAGAGCAGGAGGAGCAGGAGCAGGAGAGAGAAAGAAAGAACAGCCATAAGGACAAGTCACATGACTACACAAAAGGAAAAAGACAAACGGGTTAGGGCAAGGCGGGAGGCGTGGGCGTTCCTCGCCTGGCCTCCTCCTGTGCCCTGATCCTGTCGAAGAGCGCCGACAGGCGGCGCTCGTAGGACGGCGGCTCCTGTGCGGGGCGCTCCTGCGGCGCCGAGGGATCTTCCTGCGGCGCCGTCGTGGTCGTCGCCGCCGCGGCCGCCGTCGTCCGCACTCGAGTGACCACCCGAGCCTCTGCCCGAGTGGTAGCCTGGATCTCCACCTGGCTGAAAGGTATCACACGATCGATGGCCGATCGTAGCCGAGGATTGGGACCTAGCCCTTTCCTGAAAGCCTGGAGAATTTCTACCCCCTTCTTGGTGGGGGGGAGGCACACTCTGCCCAACTTGGCCCCGCGGCCCTGAGACCCCCCCCCCACACTGAACACAGAGAAACTGCTGGACCGCTCGCCTCGCGGGGATCCCAGGGATCTGAGAGCCACCTCCAACAACAGAGCCCTGGACCGCAACGACCTGGTGACCCTTGGCATCCCCGAGAAGCTTGCGCAAGAATGCAGGGGTGCCCTTGCAGCCGTCCATCGGCGGCGAGTCCCCAGGAGGCGCAACAATCAAACACTGCTTGCACTGGTGGCCCACCAGCGTGGAGGCCCATTCATGAAAACTACTGCACCGCTTATCCTGGGGCCGCCTGCTACGGGGAGGCCTGGACCACCTCTTGTCATTCTGAAAACACGGAAGTACTGCTGCGGCCAGTTTAATAAACCTGGTGGCCTTGACCTCTGCCTCTTCGACCTTCTCTAGGAAACTGGGGTCTGGGCGAGCATGCATAGTCAAGGCGATTTTGGCATGAGCATCTGCGGCTTTATTCGCCTGAGCATACCTCAACTCATCACCCTGCAAAGCAGAGATGGCCTCATCCGACCTGTGAGCTTTCACATGCCTCGTGAGGCTTATATTCGACGTGCCTGGGAGTGACTGAGCAAACAGGCGCACAGCAGCATACTTATTTGAGGACCGTGTCTGTGCCTCGAGAGACCTCTGAGCGGTGGTTACAACAGCGAGGCAATCTAAACCGACATGGGTCTCTCGATCTGAAACTTGCCCAGCTAATGCATAGGCTAGGTGCTCCGCAAAAGCAGGGGTCTGGGGGAGGGAGCCAGCCACGGGGCCTCGAAGGACCGCCAGGACATCTTCGCTCTCAGGCCGCAACAGCGCAATGGCCCATGCCGCCCTCCGAAGACATCTCAACGCTTGCTTCGTGCATGACCCATCTGCGGCTAACTCCATCAATTGATGCTCCCCCAGAAGCTGTCCCACCTGCTCGGGAGTCTGAGGGATCTCTTCGCCATCACCCCCCACAACACAACAATCACTCGACGCACACGGGGGGGGAACCTCACTGGGATCAAAGACGAAGAGCCCTCTGGTATAAATCGGATCAGTGCTCTCGCATCCTGCCGAAATAAACGACTCTGGAATCTCGGCTGCTTCTCTGGCCTCTCTGACCTCAGGCAGATCACAAGTGTATAACCTATGGTGCAGCGTGTCTACTCTACCGCACCTGCATTTACCCGAGGTTGTGTACCCCGAGAGTCGAGCTCGCTCTTCAGTCCAAAGAGCGTCGCAGGCACAACACCGAACCAAAAACTGTTGGTATCGTGTAAACTTTTTGCTGCTCGAGGCACAAATCTGCTTGCGCACAAGGTCAAACGTCGCACAGTGCGCCTGCTCAAAGCCAAGCTTGCGCGCCAAGGCCTGTTCATGCTGGCGCTGTAGCCCAGCTTCGAGCAACTCTAAAAGCAACCCTGGAGTCAACTGACCGATGTTGACTTGTAGACCGTTGTGGTCTGTCCAGAGGAGCGGATCGGGTGCATCCCATCCTGCACGACAAGCTGCGAGCCTCGCTCTCGAGAGGGGCCCTTTGCTCGCATGCCAGGATCGGGGACTGCTGGCTTTGGCTTCTCGCCACATTCTACACAAATCATGCGTGGGGACAAGTGCTCGGTCGGCGTTAGACTGAGCCAGCCACAACATACGACACCACTGCAACGCGGGAGCTAACGCCGACCTCGCACTCTCATCTCCAAAAAGAACCGTTTTTGCGCTTAAACTTGTTCCTCCATGCTGGGGGGAATGCACTCGGCTTTGGATCCTTCGAAAGTTAAACCATTCCAGATTGTTTAGGCCCAGGACCCCGGTGCCGAAGGCAGCACCCGTGGAAACACCAGTCTTCAAAACTCGCTGAAAAGGACTTCCTAGTGCAACCTGCTACAGTACGCGCAAGTCGCTTGTGCTTCCTGAGCCTGAAACGCATCTTGGAAAATCGTGTTCGCTGCTTATCTCTGGCATGCGGCCTAGTACGTTGAGAGGCTCCAGACTGATCTACCCCGAGATACGCAACACTCGTTAGTGCAGCCTCGCGAGGGACACATAATTCTTTGCAAACCTCTCTGGCTAGGCCGTCTGTACTGGAAATTACCGCTATCTTATCATTCAGCTTGGCCTGAAGCTCTTGCACACAAAGTTTGAAATCTCTACCTGCTGAGACGGCCATAGACTTGGCTATCTGCCTGTCACTGCTAGCTATTCCGATGGCACTGTCGTCTATATAGCTGAGAAAATCGATAAAAGGCTGCCTGACTAGGAAGGAATCGAATTCCTGAACCGCGTGTATCTTGATCGAGATATCGTTAAAGACATCTCCCGCGGGCAGCCCTCCTTCTGCGAAGAGCACACTCTGGGCATGGTGCTGACCTAGCCGCAAGAGTCGTGGGCCCTTCCAAACATTATAAACCAGTTTCAGGAAACTAAGCGGCACGTTGAACCTCAAAAACTTGTCCCTGAGAGCTTCTAGGGGAATCGTTTCGTAATACTTCGAAAAATCGGCCACGATTAAAACGCTGTGCTTATTCTGCTCGGCATCGCTCTCACTGCGCGCTGCCTGGAGCCAGGCGCAATCCACTGCTGAACGACCTTTCGACGCCCCCCAGTAACGACGATCGACCAGACGATTCACCTCCGTCAGCAGTGGGCGCCGCAGTCTTTGCCAAACACGGTACATGCCAGCATAAAGAACGATGAGACGGTTTCCCCCTTTGGGTTTTGGGAGCATGGGTTGGACCACCCACAAAAGCTGCCGAGGGAGCAAACCGATGGCCTCGCAGGCCTGCCAAAGAGAACTTAAAACCTCAAGTCCTGAATCGTCCAGGGCCAACACAAAACGCGGGCGA